ATAGTTTTTGGGGTATTTTTTGTAGTTGTTTTTATCGGGCTGTCAGCCGCCCTGAGTCCGCAAGGAGAAGAGCGGGGTATAAATTCAAATAATAAATAAATAAATAAATAAATATGTTATTATTATTATTATTATTATTATTATTATTATTATTATTATTATTATTATTAAGCTCCAGTTTGAAGTGAAGGATCTACCCGTGTTTATTTCGACTCTCTCTGCTAGTCAGAACAGAGTCGAGCAGTGGTGACGAACCTATGGCACGCGTGCCAGGGGCGGCACTCAGAGCCCTCTCTGTTGGCACGCATGCCACCGCCGCCAGCAGCAGGTCCATCAGGCCGCCACCGCCACCTGGAGCAGGAGCCCCGCCCAGCACAAAGGAGGCGAAGCGGCCGACTAGCAAGCTCGAGTAGAGGTGGTAGAGCAGAGGTCACCAACCATTGTCGATTGGTGGACTGGAAGAAAAGGGAGGGGGAAGCATTTGACAGGTGTGCATGCGCGCATGGGGCCGCAAGCAAGCACCTGCTGCAATTGGGGCGGGGCTAATGCCTGTGTGATACTCACTAGCCCTGCCCCGTTCTTACGTGGTGCAGCGCCTTATATCTGCACCCCGCGGCATGGCGGTGGCCATTTTTGTGCCTTGGAGCACGGTGGCCCATTTTTGTGCCCCCCGTTTTTGCGTGCCAGAGGCGGCACTCAGAGGTGTCTCCCTGCCCTCCCCCCCCCAAGGGCACCACAATGCTGATGCGGCCCTGGCACTTTGCGATAAATAAGTGGGTTTTGGATTGCGGTTTGGGCACTCGGTCTCTAAAAGGTTCGCCATCGCTGGAGTAGAGGAAAACCTCATGCATGAAACTGAGCTGATACTGGGGATCTTTTGAAGTCTGCACCATAGATTGTCCTCAACTTAACAGCAGTTCATTCAGAGACCGTTCTAAGCTACGACGTCTAAGCTATGACCATTTTTCACACTTATAACCGCTGCAGCCCTCCCATGACTGCGTGATCAAAATTTGGATGCTTGGCCATCGGTTATGACGGTTGCCGTGTCCCGGGGTCATGTGATCTTTTTTTTTTTTTTTTGCAACCCCCTGGCAAGCAAAGTCAACGGGGAAGCCAGATTCATTCAACAACCATGTTACTAATTTAACAACTGCATTGACTCACTTAACAACCATGGCAGGAAAGGTTGTAAAATGGGGGCAAAATTTCACTTAACAACTGTTAAGTGTTTAGCAGATCAGGGGTAGGCAACCTTGGCTCTTTTATGACTTGTGGACTTCCACTCCCAGAATTCCTGAGCCAGCATGGCTCAGCTTGGAAACCTCTCCCTTTCCCCTCAGCGTGGCTGGCTCGGGAATTCTGGGAGTTGAAGTCCACGAGTCATGAGGGGGCCATAGTTCCCCCATGCTGGCTCAGGAATTCTGGGAGATGAAGTCCACGAGTCATAAAAGAGCCAAGGTTGCCTACCCCTGAGCCAGATGGGTATCAGGCCCCTTGAATGGGAAGAAAAATGGCAAATCTTCATTTTTGTTTAACCTTAAGCTACCCCCCACGCCCGCCTGCCCCCACTTCACCTGTTTCTGCAACACTGAACAACTGCTCCACCACATGCGTCAAGTCTTCTTTAGCACTTTGAATGGAAGGACAGGTCAAATGAACCAGATCTGTCGAAAGAATGGCAGAGCAAAGTGGTTATTCAATGCGCTGATTCATGCACTCAATTTATATCCTGTCTTGCTATTGGTAATGAAAACTCAAGGTGACTAGCAACGATACAAAAGGACCCAAAACCACACAAAGAAAATCAAAGATTGACAAGAAGGTTTGAACAGCAACTGTTGAGGATTAAAGGCCCGGTGGAAGAAATGGATCTTGGTTGAGGCAGAGCAAAGAATGTATTGATCCGTGAATTGACTGATTTCAGTTATTTGTGTGTTGATGACTCAGAATGAGTCAAGTTGAAGCACGGCGTGCCTGGAAGCAATACAAGTGAAAATGCCAGGTGGCATATAAAACTATGTGATCTTCCACAGGTCCAGGCAGGTTCCTTGTGATAGAGGCAGAGTCAGTATACTTTGTTATCTTGAAGGTTTCCCACCAATATCTTATCTTCTGCTCTCCAAAGCAATGGCAACCTGGATGATGATTCATAACCCAGCATTCAAAACTGAACATTTTTTCTTAAAGAGTTTGAAGAAGGAGAGAATGTCTATGGAGATTCTCAGTCATCCGGGTCAGAGTTATGCCAAAG